TAAATCAGGTGAAGGGATACTCCTAAATCAGGTGAAGGGATACTCCTAAATCAGGCAAGGGTTACTTCTAAATCAGGTTAAGGGATACTCTTAAAACAGGTAAGGGATACTCCTAGTTCAGATATAAGGGATACTCCTAGTTCAGATGTATAAGTAAGGGATATTCCTATTTAAGACATTGCTAACAGCATTAATTCGGTTAACCGTTCCATTAACCGTATCTTTAAGATAAATTTCCAATAAATTATTCCCTTCAATTTCAATTTTCTAATAATCCTATTCTCATTTCCATTCATTCCTTTCGAATTTCTTTCATCATTTCATAGATCAGGTTACCTACCCAAACAAGGAGACTGCGAACAACTGTTATTCTGCTGTTCAGCGGCTTCTCTCCTGGCTCGAATGTATCGATACATGTGAACGTATTCAACAGGGTCTTCTTTAGGATGGTAGTCCCACTTTAACTCGACGCTGTAGTCAACATCACGACGTCTTCTTGAGGCTGGAGCTAAAGGGAATTCAATAAGAATAATGTAATTTTCTTTATCAATAATTCTCATACTCATTAATAATTCATGAGTAAACCAGCCAATCAATGGGCTATTTTTGGGTCACATGATGTTACTTGAAACCTGGTAAAGTGCTGTGAAAGGAATGCATTCAGTCTGGAGTAACTGGAACAAAATTAATTCAGTCCTAGGACTGAATTAATTTTGTTCCAGTTACTCCAAGTCGAATAATTAATGAGATGAGAAGTCATTTCAAAGCCCCCAATATCGGACTGGACGGGATTTCAAGTCCGCGCAATTAGTTCCACTAATTGCTTTGACTTGAAATCCCGTCCAGTCCTCATTGTCGGCTTTGAAATATTACTTAGCTTCATGTACGTCAAGTAAATTGTAGGTTTAGTTAAGGCGTAGCGCATCCCATCCATGGAAGCAAGCTGAACAAAGTCTTTGGAAGGATTTGATTCCTCTAGACGGGTGTACTAAGAACGCAAATAATAATCATACATACATGAAAAAAAAAAAGAAAAAATAATAGTTATACCTTGTTTGACGATCATGGGGCATTGTAGAGGCAACGAAATAAAGTTTGCTGCTAGTCCTGTACTCTGTGGATTCACTGGAAAGCGATTCACCCTTTGTGAAACGCAGTCAATCTTCTTCGTCTGCAGAACTGTAATAGAAAGGTAAAATATGCTAGTCATAAACATGGGGGACGGTGGTTTAGCTAAAAGCAATCCTTTCAGGAACAATCAATTTTAAGCAATGCACGACATTAAAAATTCGCGATAAAAGATTGCAATATTGGCCTGCCCACTAGCGTAGGGAGAGGGGAACGGTGTGCACGTCCCCCCCCCCCCCCCCCCCCCCCCCCCCCCCCCCCTCACCAAAATTTAATTAATTCATGCGGGATTCCTGTGGATTTGATGGTAAAATGGTACGTTGCCCCCTCTATGATCGAGACCTCGCTACGTCCCTGAGCCTGCCTGAACTTACGAACTTACCAGTGGAGTTGGTGTTAACAGTGTAGTCAAGTTTAGCATTGAACTGATTGTCAAAATCCTGTCCAAACCTTTGAGAATCCTCGAGCAGTGAACCAAATTTTGGTATAAAACTGCTATCGGCACTCTCCGACGTCAACGGCTTTACCTCAGACGTAATTTCCAGCTAAAGCAGAGGGGAATAAAGATAATAAGTTAGAGAGTTGGGGAGTCCATATAATAATATGGAACATTATAATATTTACAACCCCAAAATGTCCCATACCTTTTGCATATCTTGCTTTCGCTTAGTGTCAAATTCTTCTACCACTTTTTTCTGCTCTGGACTCAGGGTTTTAAGGTACGCTGATAATTGATTGGATATTTGAACACCAGAACTCGACTGTCCACCGGAACTTGATTGTCCACTCGACTGTCCCCCAGCTGACGGTGTTTCCTGAAGTACCACAGAAGCAGTAGAACTTGGACTTACAGAAGCAGGCTGTCCGGTAGTGTTCGATTGCCCTGACTGTCCCCCAGCTGACTGTCCCCCATCTGACTGTCCCCCAGCTGACTGTCCCCCAGCTGAAGGTGTTTCCTGAAGTACCACAGAAGCAGTAGAGCTCGGACTTACAGAAGCTGACTGTCCCCCAGCTGACTGTCCCCCAGCTGACTGTCCCCCAGCTGACTGTCCCCCAGCTGAAGGTGTTTCCTGAAGTACCACAGAAGCAGTAGAATTCGGACTTACGGAAGCTGACTGTCCGGCAGTGTTCGATTGTGTCGACTGTCCCCCCTGTCCTCCTTGTCCCTGGCCCTGTCCTTGACCTGGCTGTCCTCCAGGCGATGCTGTCGGTTGAGGTGCCACGTAGGTTTGATTCACTGCAATGGTGCTTGACATATTTCCTGTTGCTTCGGCAATGGGCGTGGTACTCTGCATGCTGCCATTCACGGCACTTGGACTTGGAGTTATTACGACTGTACACGCAAATAAATATAAATGTTACAATAAAAATGGAAACTAAAACAATGAAGGGAATAATACATTTTAAGTGCGATATCTCTACTAGCCATACAGTTAGTATTTTCTCGATAAACGCAATGGGCGAGCGACTTTCTGTTGTCTAATTGATTTATAATATAGCTAGATTCAAGAAAAGATGAACCGTGCAGCCCATGGGGAAATAGTTCATAGGTTTTCAACTAATCAGAGGGCGCGTTATATCACTTATCTCGCTCGTGCGCGCGCTATTGTCTGAAGTAATCAGACATATTTTCCCATAGCAATTTTAAGTATTTGTTCATTTTTTAAAGACACTCTTAATAAATCTTAGTTATATTCACAAGAAGGTATTGTCTGGAATAGGCAGAAGTATTTGGAACAATTATTAAAAATTCACAATTTTGTAAAGCAAGAAGAAATAAAATCAACAAAGACATATGCGTATAGTTCACTGATTGTCGGCGCCGGCTAAAAAATTGTTTGATGTATTTTAAGTGATTTAATGTAGTTTGAAGTATTTTAAGTGGCCATAACTTTACTATTTCACAACGGTTTGAGTAACATTCTACAAAATCTAATAGATATTAAGGGAAACATTTGGTCTACGTCACAAGTAGCAACTCTTTAGATTCAAGGTAATGGTCGATTCTAGCTAGACCTTTCTATCAAGAAACTTATATTGAATCAAGAGAGTATAAATAAGAGGAAATCCTGATTATTTTGAAGCTCCATTGAAATTTTATTTTATTATATTATTTATTTTAGATAAACGTTTGTTATATGTAATAGTTATTCTAGAATTTTCATTATCGTTGCTTTAAACCAATCAATTTGAACTGTCAGTCGGTATCCAGGAGTTTGATCTCCTAATCACTTCGACTTATTTCATAGCTAGTTTTTGTTTGAAGTGTTTTGACGAAAGGCGAAGCTATTTTAAATACTCGTTTTTGGCAAACTAAAATGTATTTTTCGGTTTCGACACGGATTGAAAAAACACTGAAAGGAGTAAGAAAAGAGAAAAAAGTAATAAAATATAAGAATTCTGAAATATTTCTGACAAATTTTAAGTAAGTTTCGAAAATTTCCAAAACACTTTCCTTGTTATGTGATAAATTTAAAATTGAGTTAACCCCATTTTCATTTGTGTCAGTTGCTTTTATAATAGTTGTAACAAGTACTGATAGTAGATAAAAGCGTGGGTGAAAATGGTTGAAAGCTAGTTTATGACAAGCAATTCTCCAGGAAGGAAGGTCCTAAGGGCTAGGCTAGAGGAAATGAAAAACTTCAAAGGCAATAGCTAACTTCTGAGATATGCTTGTAGCTTATCACGCACAAAAGTTTGAATGCGAGGATTCGTGGATAATGCGCAGTGTTTCCTATCAGGAGAAAAGAAAGTAGTGAAACCTTTGTGCATGACAAGCGAAGCATATCTCGGAAATTTCTACTATAAACATTTGGAAAATTTCTATTTATGCATCCTTTAAGAGATATTTTTTCTTTGCTTTACCACTCGGATAAATAATCATATATATTAATAATCACAAATCATTTTTAAAATCAAGAAAATTCGAATTCTTGAGTAATTGTTTTCTGGAATAAAGTGACATCGTGCACTTTTTCACAATTAATTGCCTTTCGAGCAAAACCGATATTTTTCGGATGAAATGAGAGAAGTGGAAGACTAACTGTAACTATGGCAATTTTTCMTATTCTTTGAAACTACAGTTTTCATGAAGGTTTATCAGCCCATGCAAACTCTCTCTGAAAAAGGCCGTTTAAACAGCTAAATTAAGCATCAAGAAGATGTAGAAGATAGTAGAAATGATATTACGAAAAAATACCAAATAATCTTAAACTATAATTAATACTGAGTCTGCAATCGTCGGCAATCGTTTTTCTTTGAACAGCTTTTTATTCTCGCACCTTTTCAAGCGAAAAATTTATCATAAATATTGAACACACAGTTGTTGGATTTTCTCCTCTTTTAAAATATTTTTATTGGTGCTAGCTTAGCATCAAAATGAATAAAATAAACAAGAACAAACCGAAAAGCCAAAGCGAAGACTTTGAATTTGCATTAATTTGCCGAAAACGTTTTGAATCGGAAAGGTATGAATTTTAAAATATGATAAACAAAAACATTTTTGGACTATTATACAGATACCAATATTACCGTGAAAGGAAAAGATTAAATACTACAGCAATATTTTTACTAAAACATCGTATTTAAAAAAATATCGAGTTTGAAGCGATTGGCCAAGTCAAAGGCCCTAGAACATGGATGAATATATTGAGCACCTGTCCCAAAAACACACGATAAAAATATACCAAAAAATAAAGTTTGAAGATAAAAAATTATAAAACTTTACCCCGTATAGAAAAACTTAGCTTAGAAACTAAACCAGACAATGATTTTTTAAAATCTAAACTTTAATTATAAAAATTCTGCTCAGAAAATTGATATTTTTTAAGCATATTTAAAATTTAAATTCAAGTATTTTCTAGTAGTGTTTTTCTTTAACCGACACTGGATAGTTCGATTTCCTCGAGCTAAGATAAATTGTTTTTGCAAGTTTTGCAAAGCTTTTCAGCCGTATATATTGTAGGATTTCCAGGCTAACAGTATAATTCAAAAGGAAACCAGTTTTCTTTTTTAGTAAGCATTTTATAGGATTTCCTTACCTGAATTAGAAGAATTGGCTGATACAGCAGTGGACAGGAAACAGAATATTGAAATCTAAAACGAAATAACAATATCGAAAATAAATACAAGATTATAGAGCAAGACGCAGAGAAAAAGAGCGACAGAAAACTTACAATTATACATCCCGATAAATAAATAAATAAACGAAAGATTTAGGCTTGAACTTACCTTGAGGATAACGATTATGAAATTTTCCATATTTGCAGTTATAACCTGTTGAGAAATGATCCTGCAAAGCTCTTGGGAAAAAATGGTCTCTTGAATCCGAACACTTTGACGAAATATCGTCAAAATTTGAGAAAACTAAGGCATTAAATGACCTTGTATTTGTTCCCTATAATCAGCCAGCAACTACGCAAGGTGTTCTGAAAAATTCGTCATACCTCCAAAGTCATTATTTATTTATCCAAATAAATTTTCGAATTTCCTCTCTCAGTAAGGCAGAATTAATTGTAATCCGGGTGCGTTCGCTTATGAGCCCTGAAATAACTCTCTGGCAAAATAAACAGAGTATAGCTTCAAATACAGACACTGTATTTGTTGGGTATGAGAGTGTTTTATACCATTTATTGAGTCCTAGAATAACGATAGGTGGTAGTTAAGTAAAACTTGAAAGGCACTAGCCATAACGATGATGTCCTATTACCATGGTAACCAGAGTATTGCTAACGTACGCCTGTTTAAGTTAACTCTCGAATCTTATTGGTTTAAATGTCACGTGGAAATACATATTTAGATAATATAAATAAATAATAATAATTTGAGCCAGAGAGAATCGGCTTAAATTTTGAAAACTCCTTTATTAAACATTCTGGTAAATTTCGGACTTTTTGAAATATTGGACTGATTAGCATTATCTACATGTCTGGAATATTTATTGGTTTTATGACGTACTTAGGTTTTTAATACTATTGGAGGAAGCCTTTGAAGTCATCATTAGTACTATTGTGCCTTCAACAAAGGCAACCCCCAACACAACGCGTTCACTCAAACCAAAAAACAAACTTCGGTATATTGAACTCATTACCAGTTTGCGCCACGATTAAGGCCCCGTCCACACTATGCCGGATGAATTTGAATCCGAATTTTTATTTATTCGGTTAGGCCTACCGTCCACATTAGTCCGGGCGAATCCGGAACAATTCTTCACCGAAAACGATTTTTTGACTAGTGTGGACGCGAAACATTTTATCCTTTTTCATGTGTGGACGAAAAACTTTTTTTTCGGTTTCGGTGTGAAAGTTGCGGATTCAAATTTATCCGGCATAGTGTGGACGGGGTCTAAGTCACTTTTCGCCTTCAGAGGTCCATCCTTACAAAGTATTGTTCAGCAAGTAAATAGTCCGTGACTCGCTTGTTACAAGCTTCAGCTAGCTTAATTTTCTCGAAAATCTTCAATACAAAACCCAGTGCCGTATAAACACAACAAACTTGAATAACTTTGAAAATTTATTGAGATTCAAATTTAGAGAGACTACTCACTTCCACTTACTCGATAAACAAGAAAAACACACACAAACACAAAAATGAAATTACGACTTAAAATATTATATCAAAATACGTGAGAATAACCTAAGAATATACTAATGATTGGTCAAAGAGTATTAAAAAGTTGGATTAAAGATTTTGTTTTGGGAATCACGATTGTTTGAAGATTCGTGTATATCTGCTACGCAGATTTAACAAAAAGAAAGCCAAGAAAGTCTCAACGAGAAAAAATAAAATTACTGAAAAGAATTTTAGGCTCTACTTAGAAGAAAAAAGGAAAAGTTAAACCATTTTTAACAGTTTCACTTTTTCGCTGACTTTCGGGAAAAAATCAGTCAAGATAGCAGATGCTAAACAGCAACTTCGAAATGAAAACCAACTATAGGCGTAATTACGAAAGTTCATAATCTTTAGGAAAATAAATAACCTCAGCATAAACCATAAACCAAGGTAATACAAAGAACTAGAGACTCATGACGTTGTACCCCACAGAGTTGCGAAGGGTGTTTCGATATAGCAGTTCATCACGAATGCTTACAAATGCTATGATATATATTAGCCTAAGGAAAATGGGCCAATCACAACTTAGAATTGAATTCCTATCGAAATAATTGAAGAAAAGCATTATTATAACAATGAATGAAAACAGTATATTTATCTGTTAAATTACTGAGTCGCGGCAAGGACAGTCTATTCAATAATAAATTTAGCCATTCGAAAACTGAACTTAAATCATAGAATTACAAAACCAAGTGTTTGCCAACGAACCATAATAAAACGAGCTAGTCAGTTCCGATGAACAAAAATTAAAGAGCTTTCAATGGAACTCCTTAAACGAAGACTTTTCAAGAGGCCTGTATAAAGTTCTACCGCCGTACGCCTGCGGATATTTGTATTGACCCTTTGTAAACATCCTCCAAACAGCATTTATAGAGCCTCTCCCGACCCCAGTCCCGTAGTTCAGTTCAGCGTCGATATGAATGGTTTGCGGATGTTTTGGAACCAATATACATTTATAAAGACTATGAACAACTTAAATAATTTTTTTATGCAGGCCAGACAGGAAATGGAAAGAAAAACATTCGAAATGGGATTTCTTTTCTTTCCTTTCCTTTCCCTCTCCTTTTCCTTTCCTTTGCTTTTCCTTTCCTTTCCTTTCCTTTCCTTCCCTTCATTTTCCTTTTCTTCTTTTCCCTCTGTCTCTTTCTTTTCCCTCTGTCTCTTTCTTTTTGCTTTCTTTTTCTCTCTAACCGGCACGAAAGAAAAAATTTCAAAAATCAACAAATCGATCAGATGATTTCTAAGGGTCTTCAACTTCCTCACTCATAACCATATTTTTCTTTATTTATCTGCCAGCAGCTGATTCGTATTTCGTTCTTTTCAGCAGGAATCAAATCATAAAGATCCAAAGCTATTAAGAATATCATCTCTCTTTTTCTTCTTCAACAGTTTTTTTTTTTTAGCTTTTAGTAAATTACCCTGCGAGCAGAGCAGGGTATTAGTAAATCCACTCAAAGATTCATCAGAGTCCCGTCACTGCATGGTGCCGTCTTGGAAAAAAAAGAGTTACGTGATACTTCGAAATTAATATCCATATTTTGCTAAACGCTTAGGCAGGGAAATCATTGCTGACTATTAATGATAACAAATCTACGATCCTTCAACTTCGGACGGAAAATAGAGGCAGAAATTTATAACTTCCCTTCTCAAAGTTTTTTGTGGCTCAAGCTTTGGACCCATAAGCCTCGTTTTTATGTTACAATATTTTTACGAGATCTTCGAGTAGGAACATAAGTAAGAAGCATTGGCAACAAAACAGCTGGAAGACATCGAAAATCTTATTATTTATTTGAGCACAAGTTTCAAAAGGGGTTTTTCGCTGTGGACTTATAATAAACATTAGGAAGACATTGGCCCTGGCTTTCATTTCATATTCGACCAATTAAATCGAGGCAAGCATTAAGCTGTCAACTGAAGCGTAGCAACAATGGGTATCCAAGCGATAGGATTGTTGTTAGTATTACAAGGTTAAATCGTGTGCAGTCAACTTAAAGCTAAACGCTTTTTCTTAAATCCTTTTGTGAAGGGTATTTCAAGAGTTTTCGTTATCAAGAACCATCAAATGAGAATCTAAAAGCCAAAGGGTTTTTTGAAGGATATTATTTGAGGGGACGCTGCGGTCTCATCGATCGCCTTTTCACAGCTAGTGTTAGCCGGGGCCTGATTGATTATCGAAGAGTGTTCTTTTTGATCGACAATGACACATATCCTCACGAATCCTCATCTACCACCACAAGGGGTGAAATTCCGCTCCAAATCAGCAGAAATAAGTCGAAAGCATGTCCACAAAGGAGGCCTGTCGAATAAAGAGCTTGATCGGATTCGTAGTTTTTCAAGGCAATCGTGGAATCGACTATACGAAGACCCTGGAAACCCATTACCACGCGTAACAACTAACCATTATCAAACGACTTATACAACGAGCTTTAGTTATAAGAAATTAGACGAAACCACACCATCGAGAGCTACATCACCAACAAGGAGAAACAATCCACATCCAACCAAGTGAGTACACAGTAACTTCAGGATATTGTAGTAGGCACAATGATACGTAAATGATGGTTGTTGAATATTTATACCATATACATAATAGCCGTCTTACTGATAGATAGTGTTTCTTTATATTGATATATACCTATTTTCAAAAATCGTTGTCGCACCAAAAGCCTCAAGCAACAAGCCAAGACACGCCGGTACTTTTAGCTGTAATTAGTTTATTCATGGTACATTTTTCATTTATTGACTTCACAAATTGCTCCAAGCATTAAGGCTGCTTGAGATGATAATTAGTGGAGAGCTATAGCCATTTGCATGAACCAAGAATAAATCAATTCTAATTAAAAGTACCGACGTTCTCTGGAGCCTTGGCTTGTTACTTGAGGCTCATGGTGCGACAACGATTTTTGAAATAGTAGGTGTATATAAAAAGAGAGCTTTTCAATTTCAATGTTATAAGAAATGGAAGATTCTTTCCTTGTCCCATATCCTACGTAATTCATTTTAAATATGTCATTATTAACAATTATTTATTATTTATACTATGAATTACATTTATTTTATTGATAGTACATTTATTTATCATATACTTTTTATTTATCTTCGTTTTTTAGCTTAATTTTGTTTTAATTTATTTATTATTATTTTGTTTTACATTATTATTAATATTGTTATTATTATCAATATTTTGCTTACTGACCACACAATTTTTTGCACAACAATTATTTCAACTTTATAAATGAGGTGTTTCTTTTTAGCTTGGTATCATTATTATAGATAAACTGCCTTAACAACCTTAAAATTGACCTTAAAACTACAAATTAATAACCTCATGCTTTTGCATTATATTTACCAATTTTTGTCTGCATGCTCTGGTCTTGCGCACGCTCTTTTTGATTATTCGTACAGGTATGTAACCATTGAACATCGCTCCAAACATTGTACCCTGATAATGGGTGCTTAGCCCGAAAGCTCAGTTATTAAATTTATCATTTTAAGGTTGTTGAAGCAGTTTATCTATAATTGGTTTATAAAACTAAGTGTTAACTGCTGTTTGTTTGCAGGGCATTTCTCCATCTGAGGATCAGGGAAGCTAGTGGTTTTCCAAGACCCAAGATTAAATTAGGGCAAGATCCTAATAGAGGTATGAAAAACCTTTTTAGACATTTTTATCAATACCTTGAAACAACCAGCTCTGGGCTGGAGTTTTGCATGTAAGGCTTTGCAGAGGGAGGAAAACTGAGAAACCTGGAGCAAAAACACCTTAGATCGAGAGAGAAACCAAACACTCTCTACTTGATATACTGCACATATCAGCTCAATTAGATACATTATTACTGCAGTACAAATACATAGATAGTCTATATATATTCTCGTAGGGCACGGGTTCAAATCCCGTTCAATTAGCAGCTGCATTAGTTACTTGACTCTCTACTAGTGTACTATCACTGCACCACCCTTGATTCCCAGAGAAAATCCCTCAAATCACTAGTAGGAACTTAACAAACTCTGCTCACATGTGCAATGCCAAGTCCAGGAATTGAAGCTGAGACTTCAGAGGTGAGAGACAGGTGGACTACACTATACCACCCTCGATTTCCAAAGAATGTAAATGATACTGTGAAATATATTGAAGACATTCATACATTATTCTAACAAAATTGAGCTGTTGGTTATGAAAAGTAGCTCAAACAACAGTGGCACAGCTCAATGGGGTTGAACTGAAAGCAATGAGAACCAAAAGCCTCTGCTAGCTACTATATGGTCCATGTATGAAAGTAATGTTACCTATGGATTGATTTTATTTGTTCACAGTTCCTGGACGGCCAGAAAAAGAACCAATCAATATCCAGAGAACAATGTATTACACGTTGAAAGAAATAAAGGATTTACAGAAGCGAGGAGCTGATGGGGTACAGTAATCTAATCCTTGAAAAAAAAATTAAGAATTTTTTTATGAGTTACGTTGGTTACTTAGGGGGTTAAATAATAATTTATTAAGAGCAATATAACTTACATGTAGATGGGGGTTTTTTTGATACAGCCAATAAAATCTTGCAACTTAATTGCCACCCAAAATTGTTGCATTGTAGAGTAAATGTTGTTTATATTCATTTACCTCTCCATGCACAAATTTTCATTGCTACAAAAAATACTAAAGGGCTATTCCATGTTGCGGACATGACATTTGGAGACCAAATTAGTGTWTTAAATGTCTGATAAGTCCAGATACAAATTGTTTTAAAGGAAATGAAACATTTCCTTAGAATACCTTTAATGATCCTTTCTATTTTGCTACATTTCATTTTGACTACCTTTTGAAACT